TTAGAAGCCTAGAAGTCAGGATGATGGCAGCTGGATTGCCTGCTTACAAACGATGCTCTCCACCATTGGGAACTCTTTGTGCTTTCGTCCATAGCAGTAAACCATGTCAAGACCGTTTCTTCAGTCTTGAACTTTTCCTTGGTTTTCGATCAACGACCAAGTGAGCAGGTAACAGTAACTGCGATATATTGGTACGGTTTAATCAGTAATCAGTAATTATTACACGGTTGGTTAGGGTTTTCAAAAAAGCCCGAAGATATTAGAAAATGCGACTTAGCAGGAGATTGACTGTATATGCGTCAGCAGCTAGATGAGAGCACGTGAAATTGACGATCAATATGAATGCTGTTCATAAACGCTTTCTTGTGATAATAAAATGGATCACGAGAAAAAGATGCTTCACATCNCATCCTTTTTCATTTGTTCCACGTGATACAGGTCACGATTCACCAATTCTCTCCGCGTTCTTGACAACAATCATTTAATCAATCACCAAACTAATCTTTAACGTTATCAGTCAACATTTCGGGCACCTGGGATGGCAGCATATTCACATCGCATTAAAATAAGTACTTACTACTTCCATTGCTTTCAATGTATTTGCTTCCTTATCGAAATGAAACCTGATAATTTCCAACTTTCGTGTGCAAAACTTTACCTCTGACGACGAGCATAAACGAAAAGCAGCAGACCATCGGGCGTTCGATCGCAACAAATTTATTGCACGACAGATGTCCACATTGGACCCAGTTGCCATAACAGTGCAACATCATTAAAAGCAAACGAGCGATGGATGCATTATGTATAGATGAAAAGTAATCGGTTTATAATTAAATCGCAAAACAGCATGTTAATCTATATATGCGCACATTCTGTTCCCAGTCGATTTTAGTTGAACGCAGCATGTTGCCAGGCTTCTTTGTGCGTTTAGGCATGCTTCTCAGCTTATCCTTGTCCTGCAAACAAATTCCCGCCTGATGGAAGATATAAGTGTGACCACCAATTCGTGAGTGTTCATGTTGTAAACTAACGAACACCATCACAGGTAAATGCAAAACTCGAATTTCGCTGCGTCATGTGTAGTTAATTTTCCTTTTTAAATTCATCTTTTGCATGACCGAAGTTCTTCGTTAATTGAGCCGATCGTCGCTGGAAAATTTTCATGCTAATCGAGTACTTTTCAAATTTTGCATTGAAAATGGTATGATTTAGCGTCCATTCGGTTAGCAAACTGTTTTAAAGTTTGCATGGAAAATAATTTACCTTCGCCTCAACTAAAGCATACTCCATTGGGTCGTGCGCGTGAACCTCCTTCATCTGTTAAGAGGAACAAAATATAGAAGACGTTGGAAGATACGTCAAAAGGGTTCTTCTGTAGCTGTTACCGTATCAACAATAAGCAGTTATCGCCAATTTAGAATATCCTTTCGAGCCTCTTATGAACATCACCTTGATAGAGGAGCTAAGTTGCTCATATGCCCCCTGAATGAAATCGCTTTTTTCGTTGGTTTTAACTCAAAGCGATTCTTCATTCCACATTATAGGATATGGTTTTGACCGTAACATATTGGGAAATCTGGTGCAGTTTACTTCAAGACCAGCATGGATACAAGTCAGCGCACTAACGAGAATGAAAAAAGGATACATGAGGACTTTTTCAGGACAGGGCGGGAAGAACAAACCAACTGTCTGAGTGCTCACAGGATGGAAGATTTTCGATCTGANATCTTGTGTTAACGGACAAAGACCACCTAGTTGATCACGGTACATTTACTCTCACTTTCTGCTCTACTGATCATGTTAATACGACTGTCGTTGGGGTTTAGTGATGATAGTCATTCTCTTTTGGTTCGTTCCTCCGTCCGTTGCTCGACATACGTATTTGTGGATACCATTAGTCCAAATACTAAGAACCCGACAGGCTTTAGAATCACTGACAACGTCACCGAGCAAAGTGGGAACTTAAGTTGACTTGAGTGTGACACAGCAATACAGGATAACGTTACTAAGAGGGAAATAACAAGCAACATCAGATAAGACATCAAGGCTGTGAGAATCGGTAGCCCACCCTAATAGTTAACGTGGAAGATTCCACAATCAACTTCGTCAACATTGTACATAAAAAAAACAGTGGAACGAACTTCACGGATTGCTGCCAAGCGCACAATCCAAACAACATGAGCGAACAAGGCTAACATGGACAGGGATAAAGCATTTTGGGAAAGGGGACTGAACCCGCATGACCAACATACTGAATTTGGCAAATGCCAATCGTGTCTTTTGTATGCGTATCGACACTTCACCCGTTATGCACCCGTCGGGTAAGATGTAGCTACCCAACCATCAAAATTTGTTCACTTCTCCTATTCGAAGTTAGAGTGGCTCTGGGAGTTAGACCAAACCGGTGATATAACAGCAATTTACACCTTGAAGCGCATGCCGAAAATGGCTACAATGATACTCAAATCGTTTAGAAAAGCTTGAAACTTTCCTGGATTTTCACTGACAGGATAATGTTCTTTAGAAATTTCAGATCTGACTGTCTGCCAACAGGGACAGTAAAATCAGAGTATTTCGCCCATCAACATGAATGGTAAGAATGGAAATCAATAAATCAAGCGATTTGAGAGCATGAACAGATACATTTATTTCACGTTAAGGAAAGTGGTGCTCGTGACAGTTACGATGACGATGATAAAGGCGAAGGCCGTGATAAATGCGCTACGGAGATTCATTCATTCACTCGATGAGCGTTAGTTAATGAATCATTTAAAAATCCCGCTTGCCGCATGTAGATTAACTTCCACCACCGGAGATGCAAAAAAAATGAAAATGTGGATCGCGGTGACAAGCTGGTGTATCCCACTGACAAGTGGGGAGGGATAATCAAATGAGAACGGAGGGGGTGAAGATAGAAAGATGTAGCAATGAGTACAGAATGTCATGGTTACCTAGGGTGAAGGGTGGACGAAATGAGAGACGGAGAAAAATAGTTAAAATCATGCATTGGTCTATGCGATATGCGCGCATCCGAGCTCATGTGAATGGACAAGTGATACAGACAGAGTGTGCGCAGGGCAAGAACAGAGAAAACACGGTGTGGAAGCACCGATCGAAGATGGTAGTGATCATGTGAATGTGCATATTCGCGCAAGTTATGCTCTTCATATTTACACACTCAACTGGAACAATTTGTTTTAAAAAAGTGAGATCTCGCAGCAAATTTTTCAACTACAAAAATGACAATATCGATTGATCATCCGTAGGACAGTTACTCCCAATGGTGAATTACTTGGGGGCCGAGTACATGAAACAGAAAATTTCATCAAATCATTGTGGATAGGACAATAAAACCGCTATGAACAAAGACGCTGCTGAACAATCGGACTCGTGAGTGCATGTGGGGGAATGCTAGGTGGATTGTGATAAGGCGTTATGATGTTTAGGATTGATGTTTAGCGATAAACTGTAAGGCTTTAAGATAGTAAACGAAGGAGAACTACAATGGTTGAATGAAGGAAAATTGTCAGTGGCGCTATGTGGATAAATACATGTAGGGATTCGTATTCAGTTGTGTTCAGTGGCCAAGGAGAGGGGAATAGAAGTAGAGGCAGAAAGACAGTGTGTGCAGGTAGCCAGGCAGACATGGGAACGCATATGAAGCAGGCGAGGGGAAACAGTTCAACTGAGAGTGAAACCGGACTCGCTGATCAAGGTTGCATAGGATGAATTATTTTATGGGTTGGGACACTGAAAGCATCTCAGAGAAATGAGCGAATATCGAGCTGAGTATGCGATGATCCGGCTGATGGAAGTCCTCTTGAGAGTAGAGATATTCATTAAATGACATTCACCTTTGGCGACTCCCAAGTGATATTCAGTGTGGACCTTAGCCACAAATGAGCAAAAAAGGCACGAAGGTTAGCCATAACTGCTGAGTTAGAGATGTTTTCGCTGTATCCGGAATGACAAATTCGGCTTATGATTAGCCATCTCGCTTCGCACGAGGTGTACGCTAAAGAATAAAGCAAAGAGGTTCGTGAATAAAAAGTGTACAAAAACTATCAAACAAAGTGAGTGATTTCTTTGAAGTTTTCGGAATAGAATGAATATGACTAACAGGAGAGGTTTTAGTAACGTGACATCAACCGTTTTTGTGCAAGAATGAGACGGGGAGAAAACCATTTTGTATGATGAACGGTGTCATACAGAGCGGAAAGAAAATATTAAGTGGAAAGCTCAGGAGCAACGCACATCTGATTCGACATTATCTGGTTTCATTAGCAGTGTGAACCTATAGACCCAATCGAAGATCGAATAAGGGACATCACGGATAAAACAAAAGCACACTACTTGATCCACAGGAAGCCAACGGGTCCATGCACGGTGCAGCGTAAGTTATTTTTTACCTGCGAGGTTTGGGCCTTCGTTGAGCCAAAGGATTCGCAATGCTGGTAAGACCAAATAACGTCGAAACAGCTTCCAGTTTATGTTTATCTGCTTTGCAAAGTCGTGTATCCAAATGTTAGTATACAAAGCAAAGAAACATGAACTGGGAGCTTAGAGTATCAAGCTTGGATTCGCCTATTCGATTGTTTAGGGGCACTAGGCCCTGCTGACGAGTCCCAAAAAGGACGAAACAGTTGTCCAGTGCTCTTTGTTGGTTATCACAAACATTTCCATCGCATTTGAATGAACTGAAAGCTGTTTCGACCTTGTTTGGTCTTATCAGCAGTGCGAATCCTTTGGCTCCACGGAGGCACAAACCTGAGACCTCGCGGGTAAAAAGTAAGTTGCGCTGCACCGTGTATGGATCCACGGACAGTTTGATTGGGCTTCTGTGGACCAAGCAGTGTGCTTTATATATACATATATATATATATATATATATATATATATACTCCATTGGTAGACATAAGTATGCTCTAAACCTTAGACTTTACCCTAGAAATGAAAACATGCAAGCTATACTTGACAAAAAGAACCGATTATCGCATGTTTTAGTTGAATCTCAGACATGCCTTGGATCGGTCCGGTCCAGAAGAAACAAATTTTGCACCAGTGTGACTGTTTGGATTAGCGTGCTGAGGACTGAGGATAGTGGGGTGAACAGGGAGACCAGATTGCTGCGGCACACCGCCACCACGCGTCAGCCCCGATGGGTCTGGCGTGTTGAAGGGTTGCGCAGGAACTGGATGATGGCCCATTATATAAGCCTGTGGATGCATTGGATTGGGAAGAAGGCTGTTTGCACAAGTCATTGATGGATTTTGTGACTGCGGACTAGCATACGGAGCTGGAGGTAGGGGGTGCTGTTGACGTCGTGGGCCCGGTAGGCTGATCCCATTTGATTCCAGAAGAACTTCCAACTCTTCTATGCGTTGTGTGAGCGCTAGCTTTTGGCAAATGGACAGCCGAAGCAACGAATTCACTGTGCGTCTATCATCCTCCGACAGCTAAAAGGAATAGACACGGTGAAATGCAAGCATGAAATAGTTTACTAGAATGGTTGTGTATAAAACAAATGTTGTGAATGCCTGAATGAGAACGGCTTCGCAAACAATGGTATCGAGAGTATTATCGTCGGTCGCACATGGAAGCGGTATAACGAATTAGTGATGAAATCAATAAAGACGGTAAGATGTCTGGGGTTTAACATAGGCCATTTCAGTCGTCTTTTGAATATCAAGAAGATAAAACAGGTTTGGCAAGACAGAAATCAACGGACAACCTCAACTGCCAGATAGGATGTAATTAGAAAGCAGGGCGTTAACCGTTGTAGAGCTCCTGTTCAACGGGAAAGACAAGCGGCGAAAAAATGCCATACCAAGCACACAGTTTGATATAAATTAGGTTAGGTTCATCGGTTAATCAAAATGAGAAGCGATTCGTTGCGAGTGGATCTCGCGGTATTCGTCCCGATAACAACAAAGCTGTAAATTTTTATCTTGAGTCAAATATCCGATAATCTGTCCAATGAAATTTAGGGTTCTTAAGTTTCTCAAAGAATAGATGAACTGAATACATTAGTTTACCTCAACAAGTAAGTAAGCGCTTGCAGACACATTCCGAAGCAGAAGTTGGCTTTGCCTGAGGATAAACTGAGAAAGTGTATAATCCATTTCAGGAATAATCTGCACAACCTGAACAGACAAGAATCGATATCAACACGGATGAAAAAGGGCCGAAGTCGATTGGAACTCAATTGGTTCTAAAAACGCTTGTCTGAATCGTGTGCCCAAATATATTCAGGTTCATGAAAATGAATGTAAAGCGCATGTATCTTCATTGAAAGCGAAGAACAACTGAAAATAGCGCGCTTCTTAATAATCGGTTTGCTTTAAACCGCGAGAATAAATGTTAAGTATTTACTTATACGACATCGGTTATGAATATAGAGGGACCGTAATGTAGAAATCCATTCTCAGAAACCAGAAATTATAGCGGTCGACTAAGTAGAAATTTCAAATCAATTCAAACTCTACCACCACTAACCATACACTATCGTGCGCCGGTTGCTGCCTTTCGGCCGCCCATTCGGATGGACAATCGCGGAAACACAGGGAGGTTCAAAGTAGAAGCGACCAAGGGATAAAGAATTCCGGCGGTCAAAGGTTGTAAACAGCATGAGAAGATCCACGAACGCAACTGTTTACGAGAAACAGGCAAATCACTGGTGTCTCTAAAGGTCGATTTGGGTCCAGCGCAGTGAAGAGGTTGGCGGTTTCCATGGAAGGCGGTATCGTTTCTTGTGCGAGAAGTTCGTGCTTGACAGAAACAGTCCACGGTTGAAGTAGGCGATCTCCGTTGTCCGTCCGGTTGGCTGGGTTTCCATGTCGTCCGCCAAGAAGCCTTTCTGATTCGTCCAGGGATCCCACTTAAGCATTGAAGTCCCCGGCGACTACTACGATGTCCGTTGGTCGAAAACTTTGGAGTAATGGAGAAAGGTCCTTATAGAATTCATCCTTGATTTCACGTGTACTATAACCGGTCGGTGCATATGCCGATAGGACGAATAAGCATCGACACTTCGTTCTGCAACTGCTGACCCGTTGAGACGTACAGCACACAGTCGGCTACTGACTGGCATCCAGTCGAGAAGAGAGCGCTCAGCCTTGGCAATTAGCGCAATCCCGAAACCAGCAATACCGCGAGCTTCGGGTGCCGAATGGCCTGACACACGAAAGGTGAAGCGTGAGGTTGAGGTTGGATCAGGAGGACACAGGGAGATGATTGAATTAGGGTCTTGTATACGTGTTTTGGAGACACAGCATACATCTAGAGTGAAAGTTTCGAGGCAGCTTGTTGGCCGATCTGGTAGTGTGTGGACATTGAACGCAGCTAAGTAAAACGGGAAATTCGACTTCTGAGTGATAGGAAAAACCGGGTGAATAAGAAAGAGTGTTCTGAATGAGTAACGAGGATAGATTTTTATTGAACCTTGGTCGGAGCCTTCGACTCAGAAGTCTGAACAACAAGACAGTGGGGTGTAGATCTCACTGAGACTGTGATGGTAACAATCGTGTAGGAACACATGGAAACCTGTGTGTATCGGGTTTCGATTCAGTGCTTCCTTCGCGTGGTGCATTGATTGTCGGTCAGCTGTTCGGGATCAGCCCTCAGAATCATACACACAAGGAAACAGGTAGAACGTGGACGGGAAAGCACTTCATTCGCTGGGGACTGTCCAACTTGGGTGGTAGCTGGGTGGCGGTAGCTGTCCAGTGCAGTGCGAAGTATTATCCCACCGTGAGGAGGAAACCGAAGGTATCCCACCCCTACGTCCATCTAGCAGGCTTTTTGACCGGTAAACTGTCCCTCATCGTATTTACTTGCTGGAGTGACCTACCTCTCCAGGGGGCGAGAGCGGATAGTCAAACGTCAGGTGCCCAAACAGCTGGCCGTGTGAGACTGAGCTTTATCTAGCCTGTACCCACTGAGCTTTCATACCCGATTGGATCTGCGACTGTCAAGGTCCATCCTGTATAGCTCGCAAGGTTATGGAAGCGCCCAAGCCATCACAGTCTCGTGGTGAGGACAGGAACAACTGAGTTCATGTGGTAAGTTAGTTTAAGTAAACGATGGTCAAAATGAATTGAACTAAAACTCACTGAGACCACGCTCTAATTGGAGGCTGCATGAGTGCGATCTAGCGAGGAACGAATGAAACTTTTCAGTAAATTCCAAAATATAAACCGAGCCCAACTGCGCCGACCGGATCAACAATAGCATCCATGAAGGGACAGTGATAGATTCCAAATACGGGTGCACGTGCAGCGTAAAGATAGCCCAAATGCTTGATCGTCCTCAGACGAGTGTGAGACAAGGTCATATGCATGAGATACGAATAAAGCAACTCCTAGCGACCGGCTAGAACGCATCACCAAACCTCTAACGGACCATTTTGATACGTATATAACAGCAGCTGATTAAAATACGGGAAAAAGTAACTCGAGTCTAGTGGGCAGAGGTGCACTAGTTGTGTGATGGAGCATCTCGTTTTAACTAACTTGGTGGCTATCAGTTAGCCCAAAACGCTATTCTTACACTGCATGTGTTTACATAATGCGGTGAAGATGGACCCTTTAACCAAAGGAGCACAATTTGGGGAAGTTTCACTTATGGTTACGCTAGCCTGGCTACGACGATTTCGAAAACCACCGTAGGATACGTTAGACCCCAATCGTCACCCAACTTCTATCCGCCGTCATACTTCGACGTCTGACTCCTTTAAAAGAAACCAACATCCGCGAACAGAAAGCCAGATTTCACCCTTGTCGTGGATGTATTGATCAAATTATAACGTTGCATTGGGTTCTTCGGCTGCGTCACAGCCACCGTAGACCAACAACCGCAATGTCCCTTGAGCTGAAAGGGGTCTACAACACGAGTAACCGCGAAGCTGCAATGCATACCCTTCTTAGAAAAGTAATGCATCATCAT